TGCAATTATATTGCTTCCTAGATGGCTTGTTTCAGTATATTTTACTAGCAAATTATTAAAAGTGAAATCAGGTATTTTTTCTGGAAAATCAACTGGTTCATAACACAAATCTATAGCTATAGAATAATACATGCTCCTCTGAAGTAGTAACTCATAAATGAGTAATTAAGAAAAGGTTCTTTTAAAATTACATGTTACTACTCACCAATGATGCAGTATACGTTTGAGAACCTTACAAAAGCATTGAATTCTAGAATTCAATTCTGGAAAAAAGTATTTACTCCTGTTCATATTTTCTGAATACATGCATATCTTTACCAGTAAATATTCATTTAGATCTTATATATATTTTCTCATTTGCAATACCATATATAATTTTCTAACACCTGCTTTTTGAAAAAAGATAAATTTGAGAAAAAAAGATCCCATCTATCAATTGTAAAAATTCTCTAAAGCTCTGATATAATAGGGTAGATGGAAGAGGGCACTATTTTACAAACATATAATAAATATAAGAAGAAACTAAACTGTGCAGCTGGATATAAAGGATTTATTAATATGAGGTAGAAATAAGAAAAATTAATAACATAGTGAATGAAGTCATTTTATGTAAACATTTCCAATTTTCAATGCATAATTTTATCATTTCCCCCACAATTTTAACTTGGCAAAGTTCATTCTTTCAGCAATCTACTTACTTCCTATAAACTTGATAGCTTTAAGATTTGTGGACTTCAGCTCCCAGAATTCCTCCTCCAGTCATGTTAGCTCAGGAATTCTGGCAGTTGAAGTCCACAAGTCTTAAACTTGTTAAGTTTGAAGACCATTGCTAAAGGGGGACAATTAGTTTGATATTTTTACATCTGCACTCACCACAATCACAACTTTTACCAGAAGGCAGATATAGGCATTATCTGCTATGAAAAATTATATGTACAGATAATCTTATTTAGCGACTGCCTGTTTAGCAACCGTTCATAATTATAACAGTGATGAACACATAAATTTACAAGTAAAACTACATTTATGAACTCTGCAAGTCTGTATAATAAAGGAAAACTGAAATAAGATCAGAGGCACAGTCACAGCCTCACTTAACAATAGATTCACTTAATTGAATTGCTGATCCCTATTATGGTCACTAAGAGACTACCTATACTCCTTTATACTATATTGTATTGATTTATTCTACTTTAACCCCAATTCTTGCTCTGGTACAGGGCAAAATGATGATTTGCTTTATGGGTGGGAGTTAAATTGGGAGCTTCAGGCAATACAGAACATTGCATAGCTTCAGTATAGACATTAAAGTAACTGTACCTAGAAACAAACATTTTACAAATTAAATGACACCACTAAAATTTATTTATTCCATCACATAAAAGATAAAGGTAAAGGAGTCTCTGATGATTTTACTCTGCAAGTCCTTGCTGATTATAAGGGTGGTGCTCATTTCCATTTCAAAGCCATTGAGCCAATGCTGTCCAAAGACATTTCCGTGGTCATGTGGTCGCCATCACATCAAAGTGCTGCTACCTTCCCACCAAAGTGGTATCTATCTATCTGCATTTGCATGCTTTCCAATTACTAGATTGGCAGAAGCTAGGGCTACAATGGGAGGTCTCACATAGAGCTCGGGGGTCAGCTTTCCAGCCAACAAGCCCAGCATCTTAACCACTGAGCTGCTGCGCTGCCCATTCCACACATAGGTGTGGTTATTTCCACTATTTGTTTTTAGCACATTTTATGCACATTTCTAATACTAGCAATAGTACTTAATATACCGCTTGAAAGTGCTTTACAGCCTTCTCTAAGCGGTTTATATAGTCAGAAAATTGCCCCCGATAATCTGGGTCCTCATTTTACTGACCTCGGAAGGATGGAAGTCTGAGTCAACCTTGAGCCAGTGAGAATCAAATTGCCAAACTGCTGGCAGTCGGTAGCATCAGAATTAGCCTGCAATACTGCACTTTAACCACTGCGCCACCTGGGCTCATTACTAACTACTGGTATTTTATGAAAGTTATATCATATTATACATGAGTAATAGTTAAGCTTTAAATTAGGAGTGGGAGATTCAGATTCTAGGTCAGTGTTTTTCAAACTTGGCAACTTTAAGATGTTTGGATTTCAAATTACAATGTTCTTTGAAGTCCACACATCTTAAAAGGTTTTTTAATCTACCATTTAATTGTGTCTGATTTTTGGAGACTGCTTGGGAAAGTTCCTGCCTTTTCTTGGCAAAGTTATTCAGAAGAAGTTTGTCATTGCCTTCCTAAGGCTGAGAGAAAGTGACTAGCCCAAGGTCACTCACCTAACAGCTAACAGAGAACTAGAGCTATGACTTCAGGTTTCTGGCATGATGCCTTAATCATTGCACAAATGAATTCTCCCTTAAAAGTTACTAAGTTTTTTGAAACAGTTTCTAGTCCATCATCAGACACAGAAGTGCAGTGGATGATCTGAGTCCAGTAATTCGATCTCAAAGTTGCTGTGGGGAAAAACAACTCTTGTGCTCTATTTAGATTTAAGTGCATAGTAAATTAAATTATATAATACAATGAAACAATGACTGATCTCCCTCAACTTCTGTAAAGAGGCAAAAGCAGAAGCATTACCTATTTCACAACATTTTAACCTGTGAACCCAAAACAATGTGATTAGTTAATGATAGTGTGACATTGAAGCTTTTTATCTTTGCAAAAAGGATTCTTTGCCCACCCAAAAGTACAAATCATCAAATAATTGAGGCAAAGCAAAAAGGCCCTTGCTCAAATTAAGGGTTCAAGTTCTTATCAGCTCCACCCCAAACACAGGATGTCTGAATTTGGAGGCAACAATGTGAACTCTCAAAATGGGCTTTGTTCCATAAACAAATTTTATACTGTAATTCCAACCTTGATTTATATTCAAAAGATCAAACTGTCAGCAAAATGATCATGAGGCAAAGTAGCTTTATTTGTACCAGTAGATGGATTCACAAATGTTAAGCTCTTCGGTGGGTAAAAATTAGATATATAAAATCAATTATTTGGTGATAAGTTCCACACTGGGTGGCTAAACTCCACCGTGTTTTCTAAGAAACGATTAATTAAGTAAATGTAAAAATTATCATTACACATCATCAGGCAATGTATGACAGGATACCCCAAATATGGGTAGTCCTTGACTTACGACCACAATTGAGCCTAAAACTTATGCTGCTAAGTGAGACACTTGCTAAGTGAATTTTGCCCCATTTTACAACCTTTCTTGCCACAGTTGAGTGAATCACTGCAGCAGCTAATTTAGTGACACAATTGTTAAGTGAATCTGGCTTCCCCATTGATTTTGCTTGTCAGGTCGCAAAAGGTGATCACATGGCCTGCAACCCTCATAAATCTGAACCAGTTGCCAGGTATCCAAGTTTTGATCACGTGACCATGGGGATGCTGCAAGGGCAGTAAGTGCAAAGAATGGTCTTAAAGTCACTTTTTTCAGTGATGAAACTTCGAGCAGTCACTAAATGTACTGTTGTAACTCGAGGACTACCCTGTACAGCAAAACGTATGAGATACTGTTCATAACACCACCGCAGGCTCTGCTTTTTCCCTTTCTCATAGATCAAAAGGGCTACTCCGTCTGTTTCCTTTTCCTCCCGGTTTCGAAGTTCGCTCTTCCACAGAAGGCTAAAATAATAACGGCCGCTGAAGGAGCGGAGAGGACGGGCTGCCCATGTACCTTGCGGCAGGGGTCTCCAACCTTGGGCCCTTGA